GAAAAATATTTTATAACTGGACATTCATAAAGCTTGTGTAGGATGAGAAAGGACAGAGTAGAATATAATTCGGTAAGAAGAATTCTTTTTAAAGAATAGAACCAGCTGAGCACCAGTGCCTCACGCCTGTAATCCTAGCTACTCAGGAGGCTGACATTTGAGGATCACAGTCAAAGCCAGCACAGGCAGGAAAGTCCATGAGATTCTTATCTCCAATTGCCCACCAGAAAAGTAGAAGTGGCTCTGTGGCTCAAGTGGTAGAGTGCTTGCCTTGAGCTGAAAAACTTGGGAACAGTGCCCAGGCCCAGAGTACAAGCCCCACAACTGACAAAAAGAAAGAAAAAGAAAAGCTATGCAGGAGGCTGAGATCCAAGGATCCTCTCTAAAGCCTGCCCAGACAGGAACATCTATGAGACTCTTATCTCCAATTAATCAGCAAAAAGCCAAAAGTGGGGTTGTGTTTCAAGTGCTAGAATGCTAGCCTTGAGCTACAAAGCTAAGGGAGAGCACCTTGGCTCTGAGTTTAAGCTCTGGTACTGGCATAAAAATGAGTAAAAAGCAAGTGGCGCTGTGGCTTAAGAAGCAACATTAGGAGCTGGGAAGGTGGCTCAGTGGTAGAGTGCTTGCCTTGCATGCATGAGGCCCTGGGTTCAATTCCTCAGCACCACATAAGCAAAAAGAAAAAAGCCGGAAGTGGCGCTGTGGCTCAAGTGGTAGAGCACTAGCCTTGAGCTGAAGAGCTGAGGGACAGTGCCCAGGCCCAGAGTTCAGGCCCACGACTGGACCAAAAAAAAAAAAAAAAAAAAAGAAGCAACATTAAAACTGTTAAAAAAAAAAGTAAATAAGTGAATGAATAAATTAAAAATTATATAGTCTAAATGTACATCTGCACATACATGTGTAAATCTTATTCAATATAAAACATCTGCTAGTTGAATTAGTGAACAATTTGATATATAGATGGCCATAGTCATAAGACGTAAGTGCAATGGGGAGGCTAAATGGTTTTGTGCAATATTCAATGCTATTTGCTAATGACACTTTGTAGTTTCATGTGTATACAAATATTTTGGCTGAAAAAAATTATCCAAAGCCGGGTTTCGTTGACTCACGGCTGTAATCCTAGCAACTCAGGAGGCTGACATATGAGGATCGCAGTTCAAAGCCAGCCGGGGCAGGAAAGTCTGTGAGACTCTTATCTCCAATAAACCAATAGAAAACTGGAAGTGGTGCTGTGGCTCAAGCGGTAGAGGGCTTGCATTGAGCTGAAGAGTGCAAGGACAGCGCCCAGGCCCAGAGTTCAAGCCCCATGACCAAAAAAATAATTTAAAAAATTCAATCTTTGCAACAGAGTCAAATGTCTTCTGTAGTTGTTTGCAGGAAATCCACAAATGTTCTCCTGTATCCTTTGTTTTTGTCTTTTAAAATCACTATTTTCCAAATTTAAAAAATTATTATTATTTTTTTTTCGGTCGTGGGGCTTGAACTCTGGGCCTGGGCGCTGTCCTTCAGCTCTTCAGCTCAAGGCGAATGCCCTACCACTTGAGCTACAGCGCCACTTCCGGTTTTCTGGTGGTTTATTGGAGATAGGAGTCTCACGGTCTCTCCTGCCCGGGCTGGCTTTGAACCGGGATCCTCAGATCTCAGCCTCCTGAGTAGCTAGGATTACAGGCGTGAGCCACCAGCGCCCGGCTAAAAAATTATTTATAATTCTAAGGTCATTCAAAAATGTTTCTTGATAGTCTTTGCCCCACATATGTCCCTACAAATACAATTACAATAATAACAGTACATTCAAAATTGAGCTGTAATAATCTATCATCACATCTGTTGATTCAGCAGTATATCCAGATGTGTGGATATTACTATTAATAAGGTCAAGGTGAGATTTTTTTTCATGATTAAAGAGGACTGATGTCTGGCATGGGGAAGGAAAACACTGGTCAAATTGGTAACATACCAACAATCCCAATGCTGAGTAGGTAAGAGACCAGCGGCTGAGCATGCCCAACTAGAAAAGCAGGTGGGTCTGTTCCTTTGTACAGTTAGGCCCACGTCCAGTCTGATTTTTACGGCTGTGTGACTCATTCTGACATACTGAGCATTCTCAGTATTCTCTACTCTGGGAACTGGGGAACAATGGAAATCACTGCCGCATCTCTAGATAAGACAATAAAGATTAGGCCTTACCATTTAATATTAAGCAGCATACTAACCAAGGAACTATTTTTCCTATTAATTTCACCTTTTCATTTCAGTTTTTCCTATCAATTTGACCTTTACTTATCAATCAAATCTTGGGCTTGATATTCTTGTAGATGTACCTATGTCTCACTCTCTTCTGACAACTACTTTTCAAAAAGGCTTGTGGAAGCATGCATGGGTGGAATAACACTGCTGGGTATGCAGCTGGATAGTAGAACACTATATCCCTATTCAGATCAATTATCAGATTTTAGGTGCTCACAATCAGATACAACCCCAAGGCCAAACCCAGGCTGGGTAGATGAGACTGCTAATGTGTGCCTCTTGACATGTCCCAAATATTTTCAAGAGCATTACAGACTTGGCAACAGAAGCCCCATTATCGAGCTCCTGAATCTCCAGATCTCACAGTCTGGGTCACATACTGGGTTATGAAGAGTTGGGCCTGGGATTGCCTTGCTCTTCAGCCCAAGGTAAGTGCTCTACCACTTTTTTTTTTTTTTTGGGGGGGGTCTGGTCGTGGGGCCTGAACTCTGGGCCTGGGCGCCATCCCTCAGCTCTTCAGCTCAAGGCTAGCGCTCTACCACTGGAGCCACAGCGCCACTTCCGGCTTTTTTGCTTATGTGGTGCTGAGGAATCCAACCCAGGGCCTCATGCATGCAAGGCAAGCGCTCTACCACTGAGCCACCTTCCCAGTCCACGCTCTACTACTTGAGTCACAGTGCCAATTCTGGTTTTCTGGTGGTTAACTGGAGTAAGAGTCTCACTGATGTTTCTGCCTAGGCTGGCTTTGAACCATGATCCTCAGATCTCAACCTCCTGAGTAGTTAGGATTACAGGCGTGAGCCACCAGTGCCCAGCCATGAGGAGTCTTGTTTTTTTTTGTTGTTTTTTTTTTGGGTCAGTCGTGGGGCTTGGACTCTGGGCCTGGGCGCTGTCCTCAGCTCTTCAGCTCAAGGCTAGCACTCTATCACTTGATCCACAGCGTCACTTCCGGCTTTTTCTACTTATATGGTGCTGAGGAATCGAACCCAGGGCCTCATGCATGCAAGGCAAGCACTCTACCACTGAGCCACCTTCCCAGCCCGAGGAGTCTTATACTAGAAGTTTCCCAAAGATAAATCCATACTCCCTAGTAGGCTATAGGTGAATACATGCCTCCTGGTATTGCAAACTTGCAGATCAGAAAAGATCAAGAAGCCAGGTCTGCTGATATATATATAACCTATAATCCCAGCAATTCAGAGGCTGAGACAGGGGGATTGAATTTGTGGCCAGCTTGGACTACATATTGAGATCCTGTCCTAGAATAATATAATAATACATATACATTGTTAGTGACATGAACTCTCTTCCCATAGCTTAGTATACTCCTTCCCCTCTCCATAGCTTAGTAATCTCCATTCCTAGGCAACACTAAGCCCATTTAGTAAAGGCAGTAATAATAATCAACCTCCAATCCCCTTTACCTTGGGAAAGCACTTTTTTGGGGTAGCTACCACCATATAAGGCAACAAGAGCCCCTTGGAGTGACCTTCAGGTCTGGGAAGTTGCTGGACCCCTTCTCTATTATTTGGACAGCAACCATAAATCCTAGTCCGCCATGATGAAGCCCTTGGCCCACATGTTGACACTGGTCTCTGCTTCCTAGCCTCTTCTAGCCCTTCCTAAACCTCCTAGGTTATATAGGTCACTTCAGACAATAGCCAGTGCTTCTTCTCACTTCTCCCTTATGAGAAGGGGTCTTGCAGGCCCCTTTCCTGGCACTAAACCTTTCTTGCTCTCTGTACCTGGGTGTCTGCGTGGTTCTCTGGCAAAGTCTAATTTACCCTATCACACATGAATGCAAACAGGGCATATATGTATCAACCACTGTCTTCTGATACACATTTACACATGGGTTATTAAGATTTTTTGTTGTTGTTGTTGGTCGTGGGGCCTGAACTCTGTCCCTCAGTTCTTCAGCTCAAGGCTAGAGCTCTACCACTTGAGCCACAGCGCCATTTCTGGTTTTCTGATGGTTTATTGGAGATACAAGTTTCACGGACTTTCCTGCCTGGGCTGGCTTTGAACCACGATCCTCAGATCTCAGCCTCCTGAGTAGCTAGGATAACAGGCGTGAGCCACCGGCACCTGGGTATGAAGACTTCTTTAACTGTCACTATTCTACCTAAACAATACCACACTCTAAGGGAAGAGAAGGAAGAAGATGGAAAGAATTTGGTTTTTCTTGACTTGAGCTCAAGCAGTAATTCAGTGAAGGAATAAACCAACACCATCTTTCCTACCAATTTGAAAACATATGAGACAACATTAAAATAATAGCATCTCTTCTTAATTAAGCTTTCCAACAGGAATGTATAAGAAAGTCAAGATTATCGGAGCACCGGTGGCTCATACTTATAATCCTAGCTACTCAGGAGGCTGAGATCTGAGGACTACAGTTCATGACCAACCAAAAAAAAAAAAAAAGAAAAAGAAAAAGTCAAGATTATTAAACCTAAATCGGTACCCACTCCCAAAGACTCCCAACCAAAAAAAAAAAAAGAAAAAGTCAAGATTCTTAAACCTAAATCAGTACCCACTCCCAAAGACTACTATTAGCCTTCCTCTAACAGGCCTTCACTTCCCATACTTCTGTCCTAGTGAAGTTTGTAGTAATGTGTACAAACAAAACACATCACACACTACCAATCACACGGCACAACATATATGAGTCCATGTACATGAGTGTAAGCCTGCTTACCTGGAACACCACTCTGGATTTCTCTAAAAGATAAGTTCTCATATTGGCACCGATGATTCGATATCGCTTATCAAAGCCAATCTCAATATACTTCCCGAAACGGCTGCTATTGTCATTTCTGGTTGTTTTAGCGTTTCCAATTGACTAAGGAACAAGGAAAAAAATAAGATTTTAGAAGTGTTATTTATCATAAGACATTTACAAAGTTTGTGCAGAGAGAGAAAGGACAGAGTAGAACATAATTCTTTAAAACATTCTTTTAAGAACCAAGCCAGATGCTGGTAGCTCTTGCCTAGCTAATCCTACTCAGGAGGCTGAGATCTGAGGATCACAGTTTGAAGCCATCCCGGGCAGAAAAGTCTGTGAGACTCTTACCTCCAATTAACAAGCAAAAAGCTGGAAGTGGAACTATGGCTCAAGTAGTAGAATAAATGACAGAGTTAAGATAGATCATTAATTTGCTTTAGTCTTTAGGGTCTCTTTAGAAACTGTAAGTTTCTATCATCTTCAAGCTACAAATCTCAAGTCCAACTGCTTATAACTGTGTAATACTCATCAAAAATTTAATGCCATTTTTAGTAACCAGAGGAAGTAAAACTTGGTTCTGGTTTTTGATCGTTATTATCTAATTTGGAAAACATCTGCTACAGAATGCAGAGACTGTAACAGTCTCTAAGTTAAAACTTAAAATGGCATACATCTGTTTTTTGACTTAGGTGACATGCTTCTAAAAATTCTCTCTCAAAGCAAAGCAAAAGAAAGTGGAGTTAGAAAAGCAACTTATTCACATAATGCATACATTAAGTGTTAATAAGTTTATTTCATTTTATAAGCTTATCACCTTTCATTTTAGCAAAGTGTGTTTTAGGATTAGTATATACAAACCAGATGTGAAGCCAGACACTGGTAGCTCATGCCTGTAATCCTAAACTACCCAAGAGACTAAGATCTAAGGATCCTGGTTTAAAGTCAGGCTTAAGTCCTTGAGACTCTTGGGCCACAGCTCCACTTCTAGCTTTTTGTTGGCTGAATGGACATAAGAGTCTCTTCAACTTTCCTGTGCAGGCTGGTTTTGAACTTCAATCCTCAGATCTCAGCTTCCTTAAGGAGCTAGGATTAGAGTCATGAGTCACCAGTGCTCAGAAAAGTCTTTTAAAATCTTAAATTTGCTTAAGACTTGCTACTTTCTTTTGACAAAAATACCATATTTCCTCCTGCCATGCTACTTCACAGAACTTTCCAGTTTTCTCTAGCTTCTTTCTGTAGCACAGCTAGCCCTGTGGGCCTCTCAATTTACCGAGAATAGAAATTCTACATTTTGATAACCTGTCAGGAATGAATAAAGTTTTTATTTAAAGGTAAAAAAAAAAAAAAAAAGAAATTCTACTGCTCCCAGAGGTGGGGAACCATTTTTTTTGCCAAAGTATTATTGTGACATTTATAACATCATTCAAGGGTCATAGAAAAATTATCAATACAAGTGGAAGGTCCTTGGGCAGCTGAAGAAGAACACAGATTTCTGTCCTGTAGGGACCAGATTTCTCAGGCCTTATGTGGCTCGCAGGCCGGAAGTTCCCCACCCCTGCAAGTCTAAAGAGAAACCCTGTAGGGAGAGGTCACAGCTCTGTGACTTGAGGTGTCACACACAGCACTGCAAACCAGGCACAATTACCTCTGCACAGATTATTGCAAACACATGTACCACGGTGTACCAGGCCAGTGCTAACTCCGTCTGTGATTAGCTGATAAATAACGCTTGACAAAGGAAAAAGACAGGAATAAAAACAGGTCCATCGGAATTTTAAACAACAGAGGTTTCTGCATGTTCAAGCTAATTTCTTTCTACTTAATAAAACTTGTTTTTTTCTCTATTTTCTTTTCTCTTCCATTTCCTCTGTCCTCCCCCCTCTTTCTGTTTCTCTCTCCCTTACTCCCTCCTTCCCTCCCTTTTTCCCTCTCTCTCTGGAAGTCCTGGGGATTGAACCCAAGGCTTCAGTAAGCACTCTACAACTTGATCCATGCCCCTGGTCCTTATATTTTTTGTTTGTATTTTGTTAGCATGACCCTATCTCACTAACTGCCTGAGCTATACTGAAACTTACAAGCTTCCTATCTCTGACTCTTGTAGTTGGAATTACAGGCATGAAACCATGACATACAACCTTTTTTCCATTTTCTTATAAAACTATAACTTTCTTAAAGGTATTTAATAAGTATTCCTCTAGTCATAAATCTTTTTTTTTTTTGTCGGTTATGGGGCTTGAACTCTGGCGCCTGGCATAAATCTTAAAATATCAAATTCTCATGCGACCAATGTCATTACCTTCAGCATAGGCATATCAAGTTTGTGTGTTTGACTTTTGAAACTACAACATATTTTCATAGTTCTTCTATGCTCAAGAACATATAGTTAAGGGGCTGGGAAGACAGCTCGATGGTAGAGTGCTTGCCTTGCATGCACGAGAGGCTGGGTTCGATTCCTCACCACATAAGCAGAAAAACTTGAGCTCAAGTGCACTATGCTTGAGCTGAAGAACTGAGGGACAGTGCCCAGACCCAGAGTTCAGGTTCCACTACCGCCAAAAACAAAAAACCAAACTAACAAACAAAAAAAACACATAGTTAAGGGCTGAGGCTACAGCCCAGGTGGAACAGCCCCTGCCAGCCAGCACGAAGCCTTGAGTTCAAACCCTAGTACCGCCAAAAAACCAAACAACAACAACAACAAAACCATTATCATTACTGAATCTCTCCACTGAGCCATACATGTGATAAAGGCAATTAAAAAAAGAAAAAATCCAGGTGCCAGTGACTCACGCCTGTAATCCTAGCTACTCAGGAGGCTGAGATCTGAGGATCACACTTCAAGGCCAAAGCCAGCTGGGGCAGGCATGAGCTTCTTTTTTTTTTTTTTTTTTGTTGGTCGTGGGGCTTGAACTCTGGGCCTGGGCATTGTCCCTCACCTCTTCAGCTCAAGGCGAGCGCTCTACCACTATGTTTTGTTTTGTTTTGTTTTTGGGTCTGGTGTTGGGGCCTGAACTCTGGGCCTGGGCGCTGTCCCTCAGCTCTTCAGCTCAAGGCTAGCGCTCTACCACTTGAGCCACAGCGCCACTTCCGGCTTTTTTCTTTTTGCTTATGTGGTGCTGAGGAATCGAACCCAGGGCCTCGAGCATGCAAGGCAAGCGCTCTACCACTGAGCCACCTTCCCAGCCAGGCATGAGCTTCTTATCTCCAATAAACAACTAGAAAACCAGAAGTGGCTCTGTGGCTCAAGTGGTAGAGTGCAGGGACAGTGCTTAAGCCCAGAGTTCAAGCCCCACAACCGACAAAAAAAAAAAAAGAAAGAAAGAAAAAATGTTTATGAGATCATGGTTTAAATTTATAATTTGAATTTAGGAAAACTATTAAAATTACAATTTATGAATAACTAGGTTGTCCTAAGCATAGAAAATGAACTGTGAAGGCACATGCCTTCAATCCCAGCACTTGGGAGGCTGAGGCAAGGATGTGCAAGTGTTAGACCCCCTTGAGCTGTCTCAAGGTAAAGAAAAAAAAAAAGAAAATGAATTGTGAGAAAAAGAATAATGGAACTCCCTAGGCACCAGTGGCTCACACCTTAGATCTTAGATCTTAATAATCTCAGATACTCAGCAGGCTGAGAGCTGAGAGTCAGTTCAAAGCCAGCTGACACAGACAAATCCAAGGGATTTTTAAATCCAATTAACCGGCAAAAAGCTAGATGTATAAGGTGTGCACCAAGTAGAACACCAGCCTTGAGTGAAAAAAGCCCAGTGAGAGTGTGGGGCCCTGAGTTCAAGCCCCAGTATCAACACAATAAATAAATAGGATTACAGGTGATACTCAGGAGGCTGAGATCTGAGAATCACAAGTCAAAGCCAGCCTGGGCAGGAAAGTCTGGAAAGTCTGTGAGATTCTTATCTCCAATAAACCACTAGAAAAGTCTGTGAGACTCTTATGTCCAATAAACCACCAGGAAACCGGAAGTAGCGTTGTGGCTCAAGTGGTAGAGCGCTTGCCTTGAGCTGAAGAGCTGAGGGACAGCGCCCAGACCCAGAGTTCAAGCCCCATGACTGACAAAAAAAAAAGAAGACGATGAAAAAGAAATTCATTCATGCTTGAGCAATAGCAAAGCCTATGTTTTAGAAAAAAATTAATTAGAACTCAGGGTGGAATGATTAAGTTGTACTCTCGTTAACAGCTATGGGGGGGAGGATGAGTCAGTCAGCTCACTAGGCAACTATTCTGTTGGTTTAAAATACAGTGTTAGGGATAAAAGCAGATTCCTCTCTAGCCAGGCTTCACTGAAAATGTCTATCTTCATGGAACATTCAGTTTCCCTAGAGCTCTTACTAGCAAAGAGAAAAGGATTTTCATAATTTGACACTTTTTGACATGTGCCATACACAACAATTTTTGTTATTTTATTTTTTTCAACATGCTTCTTCATCCAAGACTAGAGAACACAGCTTTCTTACCTCCATGATGGGGTTGGAAGCCAACACTTTCTCCTCTACATTGGCCTCACTGGCGGAGCCACTCACGGTGGCAAAGTATCTCATGGCATACTTAGCCGAGACGGTTTTTCCTGCCCCAGATTCTCCGCTTACAATGATGGACTGATTTCGCTCATCTCTGCAAGACAAAGAAGAGCCTTCCGGTGCTGCCTGCTTCTGACTGTGACTCCCCTCCAAGGGACCAAAATCTCTCCCTGTCCCCCCATAACATTGTGGGAAGAAATGATTATGAGCAACTACTTAAAAACTAAAAAGTGAACCGAGGAGAGCCAGGCACCACTGGACCTCTGGTGGTTACACCTGTAATCCTAGCTACTCAGGAGGCCAAGATCTGAGGATCCCAGTTCATAGCCAGTCTTAGGCAGAATAGTCCGAGAGACTCTTGTCTCCAATTAACCAGCAAAAAGCAAGATAGAGAGCTGTGGCTCAAGTGGTAGAGTGCCAGCCTTGAGCAAAAAGACCTAGAAAGAGCAAGAGACCTGAGTTCAAGCTCCCCACTCCATAAAAACAAAAACTGAAACACCTCTATGCTCCTTTAGTATTTTAATATTTAATAATAATCCAGGCCATTTTATATTTACACATAGTTAGTCACCTTAAAATATCTAAGACTTAGCAGAAAGGAATTCATTTTTGCTTCCCATAAGCAAAAAAAAAAAGACAATCAAAAGCTCTCCCCAACCTGGCCATTTGCTTATAAGCTTCTTCAGCTACTGCGAAGATGTGAGGATCCATGTCCCCCATGTTCTGACCACTGTATGCATTGATGATGTCTTCTCCATAGATGGGCAGCTGTTCATAGGGATTTATAGCTACTAGGACGATTCCTGAGAGGAGGAGAACACAAAGAAAAATGTCAGTAACGCTCTATAAGATACTTCAAACTTGTACAACAAGATGGTCAATACAAAACTTTATTTTAATTGAGTTCATATCCAACTGGTTAACTTTCAAGGGCCAAAATACATTTGCCAAGCACTGGTGGTTTACACCTATACTCCCAGCTACTTAGGAGCTAATATCCAGAGGATCATGGTTCAAAGCCAACCAGGAGAGGCTGGGAATGTGGCTTAGAGGTAGAGTGCTTGTACAGCATGCATGAAGCCCTGGGTTCAATTCCTCAGTACCACATACACAGAAAAAGCTGGAAATGGCGCTGAGGCTCAAGTGGTAGAGTCCTAGCCTTGAGCAAGAGAAGCTCAGGAACAGTGCCCAGGCCCTGAGTTCAAGCCCCAGGACCAACCAAAAAAAAAAAAAAAAAAGCCAACCAGGAAAAGTCTACAAGAGTCAGTCTCCAACTAAGCAACAAAAAGCTGGGCCCAGCCAGCAGAAGCAAAAAGGTTTATCCCAAGAAAAGTCTATCCTACACTTCTAAGCAATTGAGAAACAAAAGAATTGCACTAAACTTGAACCCACTCCCAAAGATGTCCCATGGACATCAACTCTTCAAGTAGTTTTGATTTGTTTTTTTATGTAAGGGATGAAAATGGCTGGGAATGTGGCTTAGTGGTAGAGTGCTTGCCTAGCATGCTGAAGCCCTAGGTTCGATTCTACAGTACCACATACACAGAAAAAGCCAGTAGTAGTGCTGTGGCTCACATGGTAGAGTGCTAACTTTGAGCAAAAGAAACTCAGGGACAGTACCCAGGCCTTAAGTTCAAGCCCCAGGACCAGCAAAAAAAAAGATGAAAATAATTGGTAAAGTTGGCATTATGCGTGACATATAACTTTTGTGGGGGCAAAATCCAAAAGATGGACCTAGTGCTTTTTATGTTAACTACATATATTCACAAATGACTTAATACTGCACTAAATGCAACTTAGCTAAATGAGTACTGGAAATCTTCCTTATAGCTCCGGAGTAATTTTTGTCCATCACAAGAAGTCTAACCATGGCCTGCTTTCTCCAAGCACTAGGTATTTTCAGTGCTTTGGCCATTAGCAGAACGAGTGCACAATGCCCTCAGACAGTGGGGCGTACTTACCACAGTATGTATAAATAAGTTTGGAGTCAATAAAACGGACTCTGAGATTATGGAGCACAGCAGGCTCATGAAGGTAGCTGAGAGCTGTGAGGTCATTTTCACCAACGAGGATGTCTGGGTTTCGTAAATGAGGCAGCTCCTTGGTTTTTGGATCGAGACGGTACTCCAAATCCTGAAAACACAAAATACAAATGTCTGGATCAGTCATGGTAATGAATGTGGAACAGGCCCAGACACTGCTTATTTCCTATTTCTGATTTGCTTCTCAGTTCTTTTTTTTTTTTTCTTCTCAGCTCTTAAATATTCTAATTTCCTGCCTTTTCTCATGTCACAAATGCTGGTGGAAATGAGAAACAAGAAGGGTATCTTAATGTATATTCATAATGTTTGTGAGCTGCACATGGTGGTACATGCCTATAATCCCAACATCGTGCAGCAGAGGCAAAAGGACTGTAAGTTCAGGGCCACACTAGGCTACATAGCAAAATCTTGTCTAAATAAAATAAATAAAAGGCTGGAAATGTGGCTCAGTGTAGAGTGTTTGTCTAGCATGCATGAAGCCCTGGGTTCGATTCCTCAGTACCACATACACAGAAAAAAAGCCGGAAGTGGCACTGTGGCTCAAATGGTAGAGCACCATCCTTGAACAATGAAGCTCAGGGATAGTGGCCAGGCCCTGAGTTTATGCCCCAGCCAGGACTAGCAAAAATAAATGAATAAACGAATAGCTGGGCACCAGTGGCTCACGCCTGTAATCCTAGCTACTCAGGAGGCTGAGATCTGAAGATCACGGTTCAAAGCCAGCCCGGGCAGGAAAGTCTGTGAGACTCTTACCTCCAATAAACCACTAGAAAACTGGAAGTGCCACTGTGGCTCAAGCAGTAGAGTGCTCATCTTGAGCTGAA